TTTCAGCTTGAGAAATGCTGAGCCTGTTCTTCCCTTTTGGGTTTCTATCTACAGGTCTTTGCACACGTCATTATAATACTTTGTTTTCTCAAGCTGCCCTTGAAATCTTCTGTTCAGCTCTTTTACATCACCGTTTCTTCCATTCGCTTTAGCTACTCTTCATTCAAGAGTCTCTTCTGACATCCGTTTTGGTCGTTTCTTTCTTTCCTGTCTTTTTAATGACTGTTTGCTTTCTTCATGTGTGATGTCCTTGATGTCATCCCACAACTCGTCTGGTCTTCAGTCATTAGCGTCCAGTGACTCAAATCTATTTTTGAGATTGTCTCTAAAGTCAGGTAGGATAAACTCAAGGTGGTACTTTGGTTCTCATAGACTTGTTTTAATTTTCTTCAGCTTCTACTTCAACTTACATGTGAGCAATTGATGGTCTGTTCCACAGTTGGCCGCTGGCCGGGTTCTGACTGATGATGTTGAGCTTTCTCCATCGTCTCTTTCCAGAGATGTAGTTGCTTTGATTCCTGTGTATTCCACCCGGCGAGGTCCACACGTGTAGTCAATGTTTATGTTGTTGACAAAAGGTATCTGCAATGATTAAGTCGTCGGTCTTGCAACATTCTGTCATGAGATCTCCGGCATCATTTCTGTCACCAAGGCCGTATTTCCCAACTACCGATCCTTCTTCTTTGTTTCCAACTTTCACATTCCAATCACCAGTGGTTATCAATGCATCCTGACTGCATGTTTGATCAATTTCAGACTGCAGAAGCTGGTAAAAAACTTTAGTTTCTTCACCTTTGGCGTTAGTGATTGGTGTGTAAATTTGAATAATAGTCGTATTAACTGGTCTTGCTTGTAGGTGTGTGGATATAATCCTATCGCTGACAGCGTTGTACTTCAGGATAGATCTTGAAATGTTCTTTTTACAATGAATGCGATGCCATTCCTCTTCAATATGTCATTCCCGGCGTAGTAGACTGTATGATTGTCTGATTCGAAATGACCCATAGCAGCCCTTTTCAGCTCACTCATGCCTAAGGATATCGATCTTTCATGCATTCCGTTTCGTTTTCGACGACTTCTAATTGTCCTAGATTCATGCTTCATACATTCCATGTTCCACTTAGTAAAGGATGTTTGCAGCTGTTTCTTCCCATTCAGAGTTGTATCACATCAGCCAATGAAGGTCCTGAAAGCCTTATTCCCTCCACGTCATTAAGGTCGACTCCACTTTGAGGAGGCAGCTCTTCCCCAGTCGTATTTTGAGTGCCTTCCAACCTGAGGGGCTCATCTTCCAGCACTATATCAGATAAGGTTCTGCTACTCTTCATAAAGTTTTCCCTGGCCAGTTTTTTTCAAAGTATATCACAGGTCCTTCTTTCCAGTCTGTCTTAGTGCGGAAGCCCTGCTGAAACCTGCCCACCCTGGGTGACCCTGCTGGTATTTGAAATACCGGTGGTATAGCTCATAGCATCACAGCAACACACAAGTCCCCACAGCAGGACACTGACAGATGCGTGGTGGACTTTATCGCATCTTAAAAATACCACCCAGAGGTCTTAGAAATCACCCCACCTCGCTTCCATAGCTGGACAACTCTTAGATCTTACTCATCAGCCTGTTGAACTGTTCTTTTTCCAGAGACATAGATACCATCAAAAAATTTGTGGATGTCCTTGCATTTAACTGTTGTGGCTCGCTGAATTTGATACAAGTTCAATGTTGTTTCCTTCAAGAATTAACTCATCTTTCTGGGCTTGAGATACTGAACAAGCAACACCTGGCCTCATCCAAACACTGCAAATGTATTTTTCACCCAAGGAGTTTTGGATTTCAACAAGAGACTGGCTCTCCCGAATAAGGACACTGTGGGGACAGGAGCATGCACAGACCTCGTCTCGCCGCGGGAGCGCGGTGTAACGCCCTTGACCATGCTCTGCAAGTGACTACAGACGGCGCCAGCTGTAGCCAGTACCTTTCTATTTCCCCACGGTTTGTCAACGCAGCCTCTTCTTTGCTTTCCAAGGCGACTGACTTCTACACTGACGGGATGGAAGTCCCCCACAAGGCCCCTCTGGGGCCCCACGCAATAACTGCTTCCCTTTAGAGTAATGCCGACATTTTCTGGTTTTCAGTCTGGCTGCTGAGAACAGCCTTCATTCTCACAGTAGATGCAGCAGAGAGCGCTCCGTAGGGTTTTCTTGGTTGTGACCTTTCAGAAGCAGTTCACCAGGCCTTTCTTCCGAGGCACTGCAGGGTGGGTTCAAACTACTGACGTTAGGTTAGTAGTCAAGCACAAACTGCTTGTACCACACAGGGACCTTCAGCCCCTACAAGGCAGGTGTTATTGGCCCTGCTTTGCAGGTGGGAAAAGTGGGACTCTGAGGAGCTAAGCCGGTAGATGCCAGCGTTGGGATTCGAACCCAGGCCCATCGGTAGATGGGGTTAGGTGCGGCAGAGGTGACGGGGAAGCCTGTTTACATCCTGAAGTCACATGGGAAGGAGAAGTGAACGCCTATCCTCTTAATATCAGAGATGGAGGAGTTTGATTCTCACTCAGTAACCGGGATGGAGCCCTTGGAGTTTGGGGCAAGACATTGATGCTGTCACAGTAGGGAAGAGAAAGTTGGTGGATGGATCAGAACTGCTGGGGAGGCTTAGAGAGGGGGCAGAGGACGGGAGCCATTAGCCTGGGCGGCGAATCAGGGGCCTTACAGAAGGAAGACAGGAGGTGGGGGAGGGGAGGGGGCACCAGCAAATGAGTAGCAACTGTCATTAAGCCCATCCTGTGGCATGGACAGTTAAGCACTGGACCGCTAACCCTACCTAAGGTGAGGTAGCCTGTGCTGAACACCTGCTGTCTGGTGTGTGCTCAAGGAACGTCGGAATCCCTGGGTGGTGCAAACAGTTAAGCACTCAGCTGTTAATCGAAAGGTTGGAAGTTCAAGTCCACCCAGAGGCACCTCAGAAGAAAGGCCTGGTGATCTACTTCAGAAAACTCAGCCATTGGAAACCCTGCAGAGCACAGGTCTACTCTGACACACGTGGGGTCGCCATGAGTTGGAGCTGACTTGACAGCAGCAGGTTAGGTTTTGGGGGGCGTTTTGGGGTACCAGGAATGGTGCTGAGAGTTCTGGGTGGTTATTTCATCACCTCCTTATCACGGCTCCCTGAGGCATGGGTTGCTATTATTCTCCTCTACATGCTGGCATCTGAGACTCAGAAAGGTCAAGTGTTGTGACCTTGGGGTCAGAGGGCGTGGTGACAAAGCTGGGATTTGAACTAAGTTTTCTGATGCTCCTACCCACCCCCACCAGAGCGCCCCCTCTCTCATGCTGTCTTGAGGGAGACTGCCCCGCTGCCCCGAGAAGCTCCCCGTTAGGGGGACAGCTGGCAGGAAACACTGGGAACCAGAGGAGCTTTGGGACATTTGGGGTTGGGTGGAGGTGGGCAGTGTGCAACTCATACCCCTGGCGAGAGTGCAGGGGCAGAGAGAGATGGGCCAGAACCCTGGGGGTGGGTGTCCTCTGCGGGGTCTCGGGCTGCATCCCAGCGTCTGTGCCTGCAGGGGCTGACCAGGGTACTCAGCTCTGGTGGCCGGGACTTCTGAGCACCTGTCCCTGGCCAACCCTTTTGTGGCCATAATAACCCCAAAGGCTGCAGACCCAGCCGCCACCTGGGAGGGTCCGCCCCTTCCCCTGTTCACTCTGGTGCTGGACCACGCAGCCTTCCTGTCTGGGGCTTGTTCCCATGGCACGTGCTCCCCCCAGGGCCTGCTGGCGTCCTGCAAAGCCCCCCTTGCAGCCTTCCCTCCTGGAAACCAGCCCTCTCTCCTGAGCCCCTTAGTGCCCCGGGGGAGAGTTTCCCTCGGCTACTCCCCCCACCTGCTTACCCCTCCGTAGCTCCCCAACTGACTTCCGGCTGCAGCAGAGCCCGGGGGTGCCCGCACCCCCTCTCTGCCCTCTCTGCGGCAGGGGGCAGGGGAGGCGGGCTGCGCTGGGCAGTCCCTTTCTGTCCCCACACCCCATGCCTCCAGGGGCGGTGACTGCATGGCCACACACCACTGCCGTAGACCAGCGGAGGCTTGGGCCGCCACGGCAAAGTTGGAGCGTTTGGGTTTCTGTATAAAACAAACAAAAATGCTCTGCTAAGGGGCCCAGTGCGGCCTTAAACTGTCACCTCTAAGGGGGCGGCCTGCGTGCCCCTGCCCCCGCAGCTCAGAGTGCCCCAAGGAGGCAGGGGCGGCTGGCAGCTTTGGTGTCACTGACAAGACAGGGTGCTGGCTAATGAGCTCCCCACTCCCCCTGCACCCCGAGTCCGCTGCAGCAGGGAGGCACACAGAGTCCCGGCCACCAGGCCCCCCGTGCCTGCCACGACCCCGGGTCGGGGTCCTCGGTGCGGATGACGCTGGGCCACAGCCGTCAGATGACTGTGGGGGCTCCGCACACGCCACATGCAATAGGACGGGAGAGAGGGGGGCGGTGGACGCATCACAGGCCCTGCGTCTCCGGGTGCCTTCCGCCTGCTCGTGCACGGAGCGCAGAGAATTGGATTTTTTTAACCTCCCGAGAGGAAAGAAAAAAAATGCTGCCTCATATCTCTGCCGGCTGATGGCACTTGGCTGCCCGGGGGGCTCGCGGACGACCCTGGCGAGCGGGCCACTTACTTTCTGTCCTCCCGGCGTCCCCGCAGCCCCCAGACGCCGTGAGCACAGCCGCTCAGCCACTCCTGGCGGCCGCTGCACCACGTAGGATCCTTCCTGCCTGCTCCTGCTTGCCCCCCTCCGCGTCCCCTGTGCCACCGCGCTCGCCTAGCCCGTTGGCCGCCCCCTCCCAGCTGCCTCGCTCCTCCTGCCTCTCTGCCGCCGGCTCTTCTCCACGCTCAGAGCTGGCGAGCTGGGCTGATTAATTGGCTAGGATGATGAACGTCCCCGGCGGAGGATCGGCCGCCGTGATGATGGTGGGTCACAATAACGGTCGCTGTCCCCGGAATTCTCTCTACAGTGACTGCATTATCGAGGAGAAGACAGTGGTGCTGCAGAAGAAAGACAATGAGGGCTTCGGGTTCGTGCTCCGCGGGGCCAAAGGTAAGAGCCCCTGCTCCCAGCCTGGGTGCGTTCACGTGTGTGTGTGTGTGTGTGTGTGTGTGTGTGTGTGCGTGCACACTTGTATGGCAAATGTTACCCCGGCTCGCAAATAAGCATTTTTCCTGGGGGCACTTGGTTGCTAGACAACCGTGTTCTTTAACATTTTGCCTTACTCACAAAACGTTGCCGGGGCTTCCTGTAGGAATATTTTTAATTTTCTGTGCCCGCGATGGCTCAGGAGGGCCTCGGCACTTCCTCCCTCCCCCCACCTTTTCTGTGAAATCCTGGGGACAATGTGTATTCCGTGGCTCCGGGTCTCCAATGCCCGAGTTCCAGGGACCCTGCCCCGTTCCACGGGCAGGCTTGGGCTCCGAGTGCAGCAGGCGGCAGTGAGCTGTCTCTAAGGTGACTTTGCAAAGGCAATGTGGCAAGATGGTCCCCCTGCCTTGGGCCGAGCCGGCGGCACATATGTTACTTGGCCTGTAGTGGAAGGCTCTGGGGCTGCGTTCTGTGGCAATGTTCCCACCACCGGCCCTTAACTTGGGGGCTTCCCTTCAGAAGGAAAACAAAAGGGCATCATGCATGTCCCCGTGAGAGAAAGCATCTGTCCCCGCGGGTGGGCCGGCGCTGGGCTGGGGGTCCCAGGCCTGTGTTGGGGGACGCTGCCTTCCCTGGGAGTCATCCCCCACCCGCCTTAAGCTTAGGCATCCCAGGTGGATAGTCCGGAGAGAGATTGAGAAAAGGAGATAGATCTTTGTGTGTGTGTGTGTGTGTGTGTGTGTGTGTGTGTCCACACCTGCTCATGTGGTGTGTTCCACCTTCCCCTTCTGAGACCCATCTTCATCTCCCTCGTCCCGCCCCGTCCACCCCCAGCTTCCCATGACCGCCAGGAAAAGTCCCTCCCTTGCCCTGGAGTTGCACTTGGCAGGCATGAGGGCCCCAGAAGCCAAGCCTCACTCCACGGAGGAGCAGTGCCTGGCCCTCCCGTGGCCTCTGGCTGCAGAGTGGCCGTCCAGAGCAAGCTCCCTGAAGGGACAATGCATGGGCGGACTTCAGCTCCACAGCTGACCACGGGGTCAGCGCTCAGTTCCACCTGAGTTCCAAGCCACGTACCCTCGGTTGTGACTCGACGTAGATGTAAATTTGGCAAGTGGCTCTGTGGGGTGTTTCTGTAGCTCCGTGTGGTAGGGGAGGAACTTTTCCATTTTTAGAACTGAAAATGTTTAGTCACTGATGCTTTTAAAGAAAATGACAGGCGTGTAGATATGTACAGCCGAGCACGTTATCCCGTGTTTTCAGCAGAGAGGCCAAGGAATAGGATGGAAGGGCCACAAGGTGCAGTTGGCTTGAGTTGACTTTGACCCGTGAGTTTGAGTCTCAAGTCCTTCACGGAGGAGTGCTGGCCTGGACCCCTCAATTCCAATGGGAGACACATGGTTCCCTTTCCCCCAGGGTCCTGTAGGGAGGCGGGGACTGCCAGCTTGGAAAACATCTCCCAGGCTTGTAATGAGGTGTTCCTCGTCTTCCCAGCTGATACGCCCATTGAAGAATTCACGCCAACGCCAGCTTTTCCGGCCCTGCAGTACCTGGAGTCGGTGGACGAAGGCGGGGTGGCTTGGCAAGCCGGACTGAGGACTGGGGACTTCTTGATTGAGGTAGGGACAAAGGTGTTTGTATCTTTCTGCTTGTGGAGAGCGCCGACTCTCGCCCAGGAGGAGAGCTGTGGCCTTGGCGGTGTGGTCACGGATCAGATATGGTGACGCTCATGGAGGCTGCCGTGTTCCACGTTGTTGATATTTCCGTCCACTGCAGAGGCTTCCTCGGTGGGCTTCCGTGTATGGGTCACCTTTGAGGCCCTGGCTACAACTTTTTGAGGGAAGGGAAGTGACACTTGACCGCTGGTCTTGAAGTAGAAAGTAGAAGGAAGAGCAATGTGGTCGCCATGGTGTTGGGGTGGTTTAGTTGTGCTCCTAAGGAGACCCCCAGAGAAGCCACTCTGCATCCTTGTGTCACGGGCAAGCTGGAAAGTCCTCTCCTTGGCTCTGGCTTGCAAGAGGTCTATAACGTTGGTGGCTCCGAGTTCACTGATCTGCAAGTTTCAGGACTGGCTCTTGGGTAGACAGTAGTTGTCAAAGACCATGGAGTGTGGGCTGGAGTTTACAGCATACAAAGGAAACTTTTAAACTCAGATGCTTTGAGAACTAGCTGGTGCGGGTGTGTGGAAGGAAGGGAGCATTTCCTTCCTTGGAAGAATCCCCCTAGATGCCGGTGCTGAGTTTTGCCAGCTCTACCTGGAGTTGGTGAGTTGGTAGGTGTGAGGTGTTCGAGTCTCCAGCATGTGGCAGGTTCTTTCCTTTTAGTGCGTTTAGGTGTTACTTGCAATCTTGCTACTCAAAGGAATGTGTTAGTCTTTGGGAATATGCGGAATAAAAGACCGTGTTGTAAATTGGGGAAGTAACTGGTAAAAGGCTCAGCAGACTCAAATGGCCCTTGTTAGGACTTCACACGTCCTCCGTGTTAATCCTGAGCCTGGATGTGTCTGCATCGGAGACCCGCGTGCAGTTGAGGGAATGATACATGGGCAACCAGCTGGCCACGTGATAGTTGGGCCACGGAGACACTTGTCTATAGAAGAGGGGCCACATCACAGGCCCTGGTGAAAGGGCCCGGCAACCAATTTCTCTCCACTATGCTTGAATGTCCAAGAGTGTTTTTGCAAGCTGTGGTTTGGCCCAGAATCCCCTCAGTGTTTCTCAAAACTATTAAAAAGCAATGGAATTCCGGAGGGAAAGATCTGATTTGAGGAGAGAGAGTCCAGCAACATGGAGAAGGTGTTTTGACTTATTCCGGGTGCCCTGCATGGATCTCATTGTACTCGCTGAACGATGTATTTGAATTATCACCGACCAATCAGAGCCTGGTTTGGATGAGGAAATGAGCTCATTTTGGTACCTTTAAACTGTAGGGTGCGTATCCGGAATGATGGAGCCTGGAGCCCGCTGTGGCTTCATGGGTTAACCAGATTTGTAACCCTCATAAAAATGCAGAGACATAGTTGAATCATCTTCTG